TTGAAGTGTGTTGTAATCTCTGGGCAAAGGCCTAGAAGTCAGTGACCTCCTTTGTTCTAACCCAGATTTGATATGGGATCAACAGTGAGTCATTAGCCCTTTTCTCACATCTCAGTTTCCTCTAGGAAACAGGATCTGTCATTCTTTCATATCTTTTTATATGAAAGATGCTGTGACTGGGGTTACATCAGCATCTCTTCACCAGGGAGAAGGCATCGTTCAAAAAGTGCAGCTCCTTGAGTAGACCCCAGGGGTCGCTGTGGAGACACAGAAGGCTCCCGGAGCCTCTGCCAGGTCAGCTGGTCCCCATCTACCCCTCCAGCTTCACAAAGCCCAGCCTCCATCCAGTGGGGACTCCTCAGGAGAGGAGACCGGCCTCCCTTGGCAACAAAGACAGCCCAACTACTTCAGTTATAACCAGTATATCTCTTTGAGGAGTTTTGCTAGACTTTGAAAAGTAAAAGAAAGAAAAGAGAGAAAATCCTGGAAGAGAACGGAGCCTAAAGTTAAACGCGACCACAATTAAGCACTAGAGTTAGTACAAGCAATGATGCAATACAAGTAGGGGAATTAAAGTTGGGTCTGCTGTGTATTAATAACTCAATCATTGGGGAAGTCTAGGGAAGGGGTTCAAGTCTGTCTCTCTCTCTGTGTCCCTCTTTCTGACACATCCACAGAGAATCTGAAAAATAAAATCCCTATCACTTTGCTGTATACCTGAAACTAACACAATATTGTAAATCAACTATAGTTCAATTTAAGAAACAGAAAAAAAATCCCTGAACATCAAGCAAAAATAGTACTATGTTCCAGCAACTGCTAATATTTTCTTTCATCGGGCAATTGGCTGACAGTTCAGCAATGTGTACACAGAAAGATATATCCATGAATAGAATGTTACGTTGCGTCCCCCCCACCCCACAAACCATAGTGCTATTGGTATGCTTCCTATCTTCCTCAATTTCACTTGGAAAATTACAGGGGAAATAGAAAAAGAGATTGCTTGGTATTAAATGCTTAGCATTTATGTGAAACAATTACAAAGGAAACCTCACCGTAATGTCTCAGGCTGTATATTTTAGTTTATCTAATTCAATATGAGAGAATAAACCAACTTTCTTCCGTTGCTGAGCTTGGAGATTCCACTCTTCCTTAACATGAGCTGCTTATTTTCCTTGCAAGGAAAATCCACGGTAATCCCTCACTTCTTTTTTGCTCTGTCCTGACTAATATCACATTGCTGCTGACTGAAGTTACAGATGGGTGGAGCGACACCCTTACTTAGGCTAAATGAATGGGAACCTTTGATGCCTCTAATTTAGGCCCTTTAAGATCATAATAATGAAGTATACACCATACCAAAGAGTCAAATTCATAGTCCCACATACTTAAGAAAAGTTTCTGATTATCTTTCTATTCCATGTTAATGTCCTTTTGATGATAAAGATGTTTTACTTTCAGATCATTACTTTGGAAATGGTACTACTAGCAGAATTCAGCAACTGCAAATAAATCCCAGGGTTACCGGGTTTCTCCACGTGGGGATTACTGACATTTGGAGCTGGATAATTCTTTGATGTATGGGGGTGGCGGGTGGAAAAGGGACCTTTCCTGTGCATTCTAGAATGGTGAGCAACCTCCCTGGCCCTTCCACTCCCAATCATGACAACCCAAAATGTCTCCAGACATTGCCAAATGTTCCCTGAGGGTGTGGGCGGGGGAAAGGACAAAATCACCACAGTTAGAACCACAACACGTGCCTGATTTGTTACATGGAAAAGAGAGGCGAAAGAAAGAAAATAAAATTTTGTCTCTTCCTTTTATTTTTTTTGACTGTCGAAGGGTCTACATATTTTAATTGTTAATCATTTGGATTCTTACTCTGTTATGTGGAATCACTCTTTCTAAATTTCTAAAGCCCTGTACAGTGTCTTTTGAATAGATGTGCTTGAAGTTCAAGTGGATTGTCAAAAGGACGAGAAGTCCACTAATTCCCACTGGGTAAAGTATGGGTAAACCTTAGCATAACTCCACTTTGAGCCTTAAACTAACAGCATGTGAAAAGATCAATACGAATAAATTCAAAACTAATCAGATCCCTTCTTCAAATGTTGACACAGTATTATTTATATCCCATAAATACCTTCTTGACTAAAATTCATCCTAGGAGATTGGCACCTGGCCAGTTCTATTCATATTTACTGTATTTATATAGTACGCTGGGCCAAGGATAATATTTAAGACAAAATATGCCTGAAGGCATATACAATATCTCTTATATTTTTACTTTTAAAACTCCACATTGCTAAAAACATTTTGTCTGAACTGTATAAAACGTCCTGCAAAGGGCTACCAACAATCTGTAATGATATATAGCTCATTGAGCACGGTTAGAGCATATTTGTAATATTTGAGCTGAAGTCACTCCCTGAACGCTAATAAGTTGGTGGTAAAAAGTGAACCAGTGATCTTTCCCATGCCTTCATCTCTGGGGCTTATGACCCGCTACAGATTCCCTTCAAGAAATGACAGGCACACTTCCTCCCCACCGTCTCTTCAGGGAGGACCGAGTTAAAAGTTAGGTGGAAAGGTCCTAAAGAGGGAAAGCTGGTATATAAGCCAATGCTGTCCTTTCCGTTTGCCCTTTAAAAATATGGTGGAGTGATTTTTTTTTCTTTTCTTCCTTTTTTTTGGAAGGGTTCACTATATTCCAGTATAACTAGAAAGTACTGGAAAATCAGTTAACCTACTTTCTATAAAATTATCCACAGTCCTAGCACAGTAGTATCAAATCTGCTATTAATAAGGCTTTCTGCTCCTAAATTTCCTTTAAGGCTTTAAGAAGCCTGCACTTTTTGTAGGAAGACTGATAGTTTATATTTTATCCTGCACTGATCAGAGGCTTTCATTTCTTTGGTAGCTGGGAGAGGAAGCAGAAGGGAATCCACACACGCACCTGAGATGCCAACCTCTGAAATCCTAATAATTTGAGAATTTTCTCCAATTTGGTGATGATGATAATCTTGCGTGGGATCACCTCAGTTGTTTAGACTGAAGAGTGCTTGAAGAACAAAGAATGAACACCCTCTTGGGTAATTTGCTCTTTCCACACCTATCTCACGAAGGGATCAGACCTCCTCTCTGTTATGAAAATGCCAGCAATTCATGAGAGCTGTTGCAGGTAAACATTGAAGGCTTGGCTTGTTCTGGTTCTACATAACATAACTGCCCGCCTGCCCAAATTCCAGTAGAACGGTTGCACGTGCTAGAGAAAGCAAACTGACTCAACTCCCTGTTGGGTCTCAATGATTTTGGACTAATTACAATGAACTTTCTTTCCTAATTATCTCCATGGCTCCACCCCAGGTAGAAAGCTTTCCTTCACTCCCCGGGGGGGAATCACCAGGGTGGAGTGTATTTATCACCATTGTTGTGGATGGTGACGTAATTACAATAATAAAATCATCCTGCTTGCCAGGATCTCCTGCCTCAGCTCTGCCCTTAAACAAGAAGAGATGATGCTGCAGCAAAACAGAGGTCGCCAGGAAGCCTGGGGTTGGCTACTTCAGCTGACAATGTGAGACCATCAAATACAAGACATGGCAAGTCCCGGAACTACGACTTGTCAAACTAAATATAAATATTCAAAAAGAAAAGCACCACCCTGCAATTAGAACCTCTAGGATAAAATTACCAAGATGGCCATATTATCTCTGTAGGCAAGACACAGAGACGTTGTGAAGGCTGCCAGGGAGTATATAGGGCATGGAAAGGGGAGGAGAGAGATGGGCAACCAATGAAAAGTGTACGACTTGGGATTTGGAATAGGCAAATGTTGGAGCTCTTTTTTTTTTTTTTTTCTTTTTCTTCTTCCTGGTATTTAACCCTCTCAGGCATCAGTATATGCTGCTTCTTCTTTTCTTTTTTTTAAAGAACTTGGAAATCATTCTAAGCTAACTGCCCTCTTCCCTTCCCCTCAAAGAACTCAACAATCAATCATTCACTCCCGTTGCTACTGTATGCCAGCTGGTTTTGAGGACACTGCCCTCAGAGAAGCCAGTTTAAAAAGAAAAAAAAATCGGCTGTCTTCTACGCTGAGATTTAGGAATGCAACGAAGTGACTGCAGGAAGCCTATGAAAGGGCAGGGAACACCGGGCTCAAGAGTGAGAAAGATAAACGATAAACGCATAAGAAAAAGGATCTGCTACACCGGCGATTTTAAGAAGGCAGGTTTGAGTGAATTCGGAAAAAAATAACGTGAAGGAAAAACCCTTTTAAACGTAGTCAGCAACGAAGCTGTCCTTTCTACCATTCCAGGTGAAATCAAAAGGGGACGTGGTTACAAGATCTCGCCTTGGGGGGAATGTAAACACCTCGCCGAGGCAGTAGATTCAAGAATTGAGGGGTTGGAGGTAGGTTTTTGGAGGGGTCTCCAGATCGGGTTTTGTCTTGGCGATGCTGACATTTTTCGGGGAGTTTAGAGACAATAGGGAAGGCTTGGGGAATCAGCTGATAGGTCGGCACGGAAAGGGGCGCCTTCCGGAGAGGCTAGTTTTGAGCCACTTTTTTTTTTAACCCCTCGTGCACCAGTTCGGCGGGCTTCAGGCCAATCGGAGCAAAGAAAACAAACCCACCAAGGTTTCCCGGTTTAACGCGGCCCCAGGGAGCGCCTCCAAGTTTGACAGAGGAGGGCTGACTCCTAGCCGGTGGCCGAGTCGAGAATTCCAGGGAAGAGAAAAAAAGAGAAAAACGCCTTATAAAAGACGAGGCGTTGGGGGAAGGGAGAAATGGAGAAAATTAAAAGTCGCAAGTCCACGTTTTAAAGCCTAACGTCCTCAAGCACACAACTGGCAAGGAGGTGGGTGGGACGGAGTACAGGAGCAGGGGAAGGAGCGAGCTGGGACCCGGAGAGGGCAGGGCGATCCCTGGAGTGGCTGCGGTTCTGGAAGCCTCGGGCAGCGCTAAGCCCCGGGGAGTGGAAGCGGGGAGCGGTACTTACTTTCCGAGGGGAAGAAGGGCGGCATGTCTATTTTGTAAACCTCCTTGGCGTAGTACTCCTCGTCGCTCCGCTCGCGCTCGCAGGCGGCCGCCCTCCGGCTCGCCTTCTCCTGGAGCAAGTCCCTTGTGCTGTTGTAGATGGAAATCACCTCCGGGGGGACCTCCTCGGGTTCGGGATAGTCTTCTGGGGGGCTGGTGAGTTTCAGCTTGCTCAGGATCTGTCCGCGGATCGCCTCGATCCTCTTGCGCATGAACTGGTCCATGTCGAGCGTGCTGCAGGTAGACAGGCTGAGCGCGACCGTGACCAGATGCAGGAGAAGAAAAGCGCTCAGCACACAGTAGTGCATTTTTTTTTTTTAAGGTGGAAAAATTTTTTTTTAAAAAAGTAAAAAAGTAAGAAAAATAAAAAGAAACCAACAACTCTCAAAGTACAGATCAGGTAGATTTTTTTTTTAATGCGAAACTTTTGCAAACAATCGGGAGTCAATGTCCGAGAGAAAAAGCTATCTTGCTTGAATTCCTTTAAAAAGAAAAGGCAAGTCGTTCCCCAAGTGGAAATATTAATACACGACGGGCAAGGGGGAAGCTTCACTTGGGGGAGTCAGCAAAAGTTTTCTTGGAGCGACGAGATGGGGGCAAAAAAACAGACGAGTGGCTATTAGGCAGAAATAAATTTAGGAGGAGGAAACGGAGTTCAGTGTGTCAGTTTCGGGTGCGGAGTGGCGGATCCGAACTCGGCTCCTCCGGCCAAAAGGGAAGAGATGAAAAGGTCCCGGGGCTGGCAGCGGGAGCGCCGGCGGGAGGGCCGCGGGCAGCGCTGTCAGGGGGGCGGCCGAGGCCGGCCGGCTCCAATTTATATATTTAAAGAAGGAGCGGCGCGGCCCTGCCTTCCACTACGGCGCTGAAAGCAGGAGCAGCAGCAGCTCCGGAGCGGAGGGGCGCACACGTGTGTGAGTGTGTGTGTGAGTGTGCGCGCGCGCGCGCCCGTGTGCGCGCGCTGGGAGCGAGCCCGGCCCCGGCGGGGAGGCGGGAGCGCTTCGCGCTGCGCCCGGGACTCGGCCGCGTCCGGCGGGGGCCGCGGGGGCCGCGGCGAGGATCCTGCTCCCGGAGGTGCGCGCGGGGGCCGACACCCCGGCCGGCGCGCCGACCCGCCCGGTCACTCCACGTTGCCGCCGCCGCCGCCGCTGGCGAACGCGTCCGGCCTCCAGCTCCCTCCTTCTGCTCCTTCTCCTCTCGCTCGAAACGCCAACCCGGCAACAGACGAGCGGCGGCCGCCGCCGTGGCTTTCGCCCCCCGCGGACCGCAGCGGCAGCCCCGGGACGCGCCGACAGGGGAGTTTTATTCCTAGGGGGTTGCGAAGGGGTTCCCTTGGACTCCCACCCTTGCCCACCCACTCCTGGTTTCTCTCCCACTTGGGCTTTCTCGCCGAGGGTAGTAGGCAGCCTGCAGTAGATCCTCTCCTTCCTCTTTTCTGCAGCCAGGCAGCCCCTCGGTTTGCCCCCGAATGGCTCCCTAGACCGTTATCCTAGGTTCTCCATCCCTCTCGCCAGTCCTCCTTCACTTGCGCTCTCGCTCTTCCTTGTGTGTGTCTCTCTCTGCCTCTCTCGGTCTCTCTGTATCTCTCCCGCTGCCTCTGCCTGCCTCTCTCTCTCTGTCTCTCTCTGGTCGAGAGCTTCTGGAGCTCCCCTCGGAGCGAACCTTCTGCTGCCAGCAGATAACATCACGATCCTGCCTGGGAGGAGAGATTTATAAGTTCTCTCTGAACCACGTGTTTGCCTTCAACGAAGTGACGTGCTAGGATTACAGTCAGAAGTCCTCTCGTTTACTTAGACCACGAGCTCTCCCTGAACCGTTGAGGGGGTGTGGAAATGAGGACGGCTGTGGGGAAGGGAGGGAGGAGGTGGTGTGCGCCCTGACAACAGTGATTTATGGTATTTACTTTATATAGTCATTTTGGACCCGTCTGGTGAAGGACATGCGATCAAGCCTCCCATTTTTACTTCGTGTGGCTCGCTCGCTCACAGCCTCCCAGTTGGGATCACTTGCTCTAGAATGGAAGTCTTCCCTCCTGTATTGTTTTCTCTCTCCCTCTCTCTCTCTCTCTCCTCTCTCGCTCGCTCGCTCGCTCGCTCATGCAAATGAGCATCAAACAGTTGACTCTGGGCCAGGCCAGCCCTGGGATAGGTCATCCAAGCTCCACCTCCTAGCTTTTTAGTGGCATCATTTTCTGAGATTCCATAGCACCGTGCTGGTACCTCTATCCTAAAGCTTATTTTATTATGGTTTGTTGTTTATAGCCTAGTTCTGCATTTGACTGTGAACGGCTGAAAACAGAGCTCTCTCTTCTGCACCTGGAGAATGAATTGTATTTATTTTACTGTTTGAATGAATGGCTATCTTCTTAATTTGCTGCCTAAGCCACATCTTGACATGGCTTTCTCTTCACCTTCTTCCCCAGCTAGACTTCAGCAATCAACTTCATTCTTTCCACAGCATATATCAGGAAGCTGGGATTTTAAGTGTTTGATGTCGCTGTTATACACTACTCATAACTTGACATTTTCTATTTCAACCTAGTCCAAATTAGATAAATACAAAAATAATTCTTGCCCCTGTTCACTTTTCCCTTTTTCTTTTCTTTTACCTTTAGTTACTCAAAGTCAACATTTTCATTTCATCATGACGGTAGCCATACCGACTAGACAGATGATTTAAACTGGAAACTCTGTTGAGTTTTCCCCCAAACTCAAAGCCACTATATCACTCCCTAGTTCAGATGTTCCTTTCATTATAGAAAGGTCACAAGGAGCTTTCTCTAACTTTTGGAATTTACACTTTCCATGTGTATGGGGCCTATACCATTAGTAAACAGAGGGGTAAATAGTTACGATAACAGTAGCTAACACATATTACACTCAGTAACGTGAGGCAGATCGACAGATGTATATATATATGGTCATTTAATCTTCACAACATTCTAAAGTAGGTATTATTATTATCATCTCTATTTTGCAGATGAGGAGACTGCGGTACAGAGAGGTTAAGTACCTTGTTCAAGACCATAGTAAGATGGATTTTGCCATCAGAATGTACTGTCTATGTTCTTATCCACTACGTATTTCTAAGAAGCACTGGTACCAGAATGTGTCTGACAAACAGGGATCGTGTGGTGAAGTTAAGTTTGAGAGATACTGGGTACTCTATTGCCTACTTACAGATTCACAGTTTCTGTCATGTTAAAGGCTCTGAGAATCTTACAGAAAATAAAACTGTTTAACCCTTTTAACCCAGCATATCCTGAACTCCCTTGAACATGGGACTTTTTCCTATGAAAACACATCAGAAAACTCTGGAATAAAGGAATTGTTCCAACCAACTTCTGAATAATTCTGAAAATTATGTGTAAATCAGCATTAGCACGTTCCTTTCCTGGAGGTCAATTTCAAATTGAAGCAACTTGAAAGCAGTCAGACAACCAGCTACAACTCCAATAGCCAAAGCAAAATATACTCAAGAGGTGCTGCTATGGGGCTAGTAGTTTCACCAAGTTGTCATCCCTTTTGAGTTGAGTTTGAGAACTGCACTAATCTAGCTATACACAAAGGGGAAAAGTGACTGTTCCTACACGTGGGGCAATTATAGGACATAAAGCAGGAGCTACTGAGTGAAGATCTGGCTTTGGAAGGCGGCTGGTAACCTTAGGCACCGTGCTCCGCCAAGGACATAGGCTCAGCCTCCCCTCAAATTAGGGAGACTACCTTCTAGATATAAACACAAACGTACCTGAGGTTAAGTGGATTCAGATTAGAGTGTGGATAGAGCAGCAAAAGTCCATCTCCATCACTGCTAGGAAAGCAATCTAAGCCATAAATCCTTCTGACAACCCCCTTCCCAACATAAACACACACACTTTTGCCCATGGTATTTAGTTTGATGAACACGTACTGCTTACTTTACAACCCCTCAGACTCCTGGCCTGTTCATAAGAGGCTACTTTTAATTTCCCTAAAGCCCAGGAAGCGAGGACAGGGGAGGGGATGGTAAACTCTTCTAGTGTGGCCGAGGAGAGTGACTTGAGTGTAGCAGGAGAGGAGGCGCCCCTTTCTACCTCTCAGGTGAGCAATCCTTTGAAGATGCAACAGGTAAGACTTCAAGAGCTGTCCCCCTGGTTTACCAAAGCCATGCGGTAAAAGGGGATTTCACCCACACAGGCCATCCTGATTAGCTCAAGGAGGCAGGTGAGCATAGTGTAAAAGGGGCAGGTACCAGACTCAAGTTTTCTTGGGTTCAAATATCCATCGCTTTCTGGCTTTGTGATCCTGGCTAAGTTACTCAGACACTTGTTAGTTTCTTCATCTATGAAATGGGCATAACACATAGTACCAACAAGTTAAGATTACTGTGAGGATTAAATGACACAAGGTACCAAGAGAGTTTCTAACACAACCTGGCACTTAAATATATGCCCATTAAATGTTAGTGACCATTCTTGTATCCTCTCACTTCTTCATTTCTGTCAGCTCTTTCTCCAACATAAATAGAATGAAAAAGCCAGGGAAGATGCTAATTAGAATTTGCTTCACGGTTATGCCTCCTAGCAGTTTCTGTAAGTTCATGCTCATTGTTATGTTAAACACTATGGTATTTTGCCCCTACTAATTGTAGGAAGAAAGGGCAAGAAGATACACTTTTGGTGAACAGAACTCTAAATGATTATCAAAATCCAGTTAAGTCCAAATTCCAGTTTAACACCCTAAAATGGAATTCTTTGTCTTCCAGATCAGTGGGAGAGCTGTTTCCACCGCTAGCCCTTCTCTGCTCATTAATGGGTATATTCACTTAACTAATGTGCAGGTCCTACAAGAGCCTAAACAAATGCTTGATATCAAAACAACTACTCATCCCTGTCCCGGAGTTTTACCCCTAAGGATCACAGAGAAGAGTTTATAATGTAATAGGTCCTTCCTAAGTCTGGTGAAAGAAAAACTTCATTTGTAACAATTTTGAAAGCTTTCCACAATGGTTTCAAGCCTCAAAACCAGGAGGTGGGGAAAAGAAATATACAGAGCTACTGTAATTGATTACATTTTACTCTCAATAGTTACACTTGAGAAAGGCAAAGTAACCCTTTAATGTGAAAATATACCAAAAGCCTTTTAAGTTCTTCCTTGTAACTTTATCTTTGATACCACAATTCAAAAACAATGTTTGGTCCATAACACTTTTTGTCTCATGTTCTGTATGCATTTTTATGCAAGTTTCTGCTCTCAGAATAATGAAATGAAAACGTTTAGTGATTTCCACAAGAAAAATCATCCAAATATTGTTTCCATTCTGTATCTATAGGTGTATCCAAGAAAGAAGTGATAAAGGACAAAGGATGGCACACTGGCAGGGAGGAAAAGGCTGAAAGAGAAGATCACAGGTGGTGAAAGATAAAGGGGTGAACTCAGGAGACAGGGAAAAGCAGACGTATCAGTAGGTTGTGAGGTTTTAAAGTGATAAACTCCTCACACTTTGATGATACACTGTGGGAACACTGATCTTACCCTTTGGAATTGCGATTAGTTGATGGATTACTGCTGGTGGCTTTGGGGCCCTTCCACCTCTATATTTTCAGCTCCGTGAGATTTCCAACAGGGGGCAACCTCCGGAGGCCTGGATACTGTCACCGCCTACTGAAATCAGCCAGAGATTCTGGTTTCTTACCCCCGGTGAAATTCAGCCACTAAAATAGCACCTGGTGATTGATATAAATAAATGAACATTATGGGGACAGCTGTCTTACACTAAAATATGGAGACATGCTTGATAAAATGCTAATGCTGATCAAAAGAAGCCAGCAGCAGAGTTTTCCTTAGTTTTTAGGGCAGGGTTTGACACTTGCCTTTATAGAATCTCTGCTCCTACTTCACTGACCCCACCAGCCCAGCAGTCCCCAGACACTTCACAAAGCAAGAGACTGGAATTAGGTTGCTGGGGAGAAAGGGAGACAAAGAAGTATGAACAAAGTAAAAATTCAAAGATGAGGAAGGATAAGAGAAAAACATAATGATGTTATAATTAAAATGAGTATGACAACATAAAGTGGAATTTTTATCTTTTTAAGATATATAGTTTTAAATGAATTTGTCATCATTTCAGAGGGTTTCATAGATTGTGGAAAATTCTGAATGTGTAAATTTCCATGAGCAAAGTTACCAACCTCTATTTCAAACAACCTTGCCTTTCTGCTGCCTCAATTATCCTGCAATTAAAAAATGAAAATAAAACAAAAACCAACAGGCAATAGCAATTGCAGATAAAAAGAAAACCTGGATGTAGTTTTTTTTAATGTTAGAAGGAAAAACTAGTAAATACGTATTTTAAAAAGCAAAGTGGAAGTATACTTTTAATACGTATTTTAGAAAGCAAAGCTGTATCGGTAGTTATGATTTGTGAAAGTGGAGACTGCGGGCCACAAACTTTTCCTGATGTTTGTTACAAGTCTTAGAAAAGAAAGTTAGTGCTTACATCTAGGGCGACCATATAATTTATCACACAAACCTGAGCACTTCCAAGAGTGAAGAGGATGCTTTTCATCTATACACAGGATACCAGGGGTAAACCAGGACTGTCCCAGACTGTCACCCTAAAATGAAGCCACTTTCCAGTCGGAATCTGTAACAATACATCAGTTAACTTTTCACCTTTTCTCGGTTCAGTATGATATATATTGCGTATTTCCAAGCCTTTTTTTTCTTTGCCTATGCTACCGATTCTAATAATCACTATCAGAGCTATAATTTGAAAATACTTGTACGATTTTTAGCATTTATATAAACATGCACCACGCCCAAAATGAAGTTCCTGAGAGGTGCCTGGTCAAGATTCTTCTGAGCTCCATGGAAGCCCATCCCCCACACAGACAGGGAGAAGAGGAGGAAGATGAAAATGGGATTAACAAGTATTTCATGTATTCTGGGTGCAGCCAAATTCATTTTTAAATTTTGGAAAGTGAACAACAGATAAAAGAATCTGAAAGGTAAAAATAAAGTGTCCTCTTCCCGTTTTAGTGCACAGAACGAACAGAATGTTTCCGTCATTTGCTGCTTCCGGGTCACCTAATACTGACTTTTTACATGTTGATCTTTCCTGTTTAGTAAACAGTGAAGGCTGCAACAAAACCAGGGACACCTGGGAAGTTAACGTCACCTACAGTTCTGGTTTCTTTTTAGATTATTTCAGTTATCTCTATGTGTCTTTTCAAGTACAAACGCAGTATCTTCACAGTCAGTATCAAATGGCAAGCTGGTTACCATAAACCAAAGGAATAAATCCATAAATGGGCGTGTGCTCTGACCCAAAGAGACTTCAGCAATACACAAAAATGATTCTGGCTACCTGGTTATTAGAGAGAAGCTTTTGTTTTTTAAGAGGTCTTTGTTAATTAAGTTACTTAAGGTCACTAGACAACAGACTGTTGCAAGGTCAATCTGGTTATTTGACCAGTTATAACGGTTAAATGGAATCGATACCCCGGTTGTACTGATTGTTCAGAAACTAGTCCCTCGCCTGGTGTGAGGGCTGGAGGGGAATCGTTTAATTCAATGATAGCCTAAATCGTGCCACCTAGAGGAGAAAAGTGGTATGTCCTACAGCTTCCTATTTGGAGAAAACTAACATACTCAATTTCCCTGGGTATTTTCATCACAGCCTATTAAACAATGATACAATGTCATGTGGCTGTAAATTTTTTTTAACTGTAATTAACTTTCACCTCAAGGATATTTTCCATTGACTTTTTTTTCCCCCAGAGGAAAAATAAAGTGTTAGTTACTTGTTATCTCCTAGCCAATAACATTCTAAACTAAAATCTAGTCTTCATTT